GCCCTTTTGTACATTCAGTTGAAAGCGTGACATCTTGTGTAGCGTGGAAGAGACTGAGTGACAGGTTTATGCCTGGATATGGGTAAGAGTTTTCTTCTGCTAAGACTTTTGTGAGGGGGTTTGGGTTAACTCAGGATTTGGGCTGGCTTTAAAGTTTGTTTATATTTAACCTCTATCATGGGTTTGAAATTCCCTTAGCAATTCCTTGTGTTTAGGATGGGAAACTGGTTTGCCAGAGGGTTTTTTTCCCTCAAGGTCTGCGGTTCAGCTCTTGGGTCCTCCCTCTGTGCTGTCTCAGAGAGGGTCTCTTTCCATGCTGCTGCTGCTCTCTATCCCACTCCCAGCAGTCTTCTGCCCTTCACTGATGCCTTCAGCCTTTCAGCTGGCTAGGGCAGTGGCAAAGCCTTAGCTAGAGTTCTGACTCTCAGGTATGTGGGTTATTTTTCCTTCCATTTTTCTTCCCTCACTCAGTTGAAAGGATTTTTCCCCAGTGCCTAAGCAGGACAGTGTGTGCTGCCCTTCTCTTCATGGATGAAGGGTGTTGCTCCTGATGGAAGATGAGGTGAGCAGGGTCTGGGTAGAGTGGTCAGGAGTTTATCCTCCTCCCTTAGCAGCTGCTGTGATCCTCCCCGAGGTCTACCATAAGGGACACTTTCTTAAATCCTTCCCCACTCTTTTCTGGTGGAAAACTCCTGGTGGGATTCGTGGAGAAAAAATAGTCCTTAAGTAGACATGGACCTGCCCAATTCCTGCAGCCTCCAAGGGCTTCATACTCTCTTGCCAGTACACACTTATCCTGTGTAAATTCACCAGCCATGCCAGCTGAACTCTTTCTCCACGAGGCTGCTGCAGCTGCCTCAGCCAAGCCAGTGCCCACATCTTGTCTTTTTCTGCAAGAGTCTGTCTCTCCTTGGATTTGACCTCAGAGAAGGAGTTCAAAGAAATGCATGAATTCACCTTTTGCCTGGCTTATTTTCTTGATAAGGTTGGGAATGATGCACTTTCCAGCTCTCATATCCCCAAGGAAAAACCGAAACCAGATCTCTTCATCTGACCCATTTCAGCTGAATTCTACATCCTGTTGGGAGCACTGACAGTGCTGGGGCTCAGATGTGAATCTAGCGTTCTTTTTGCTACAGCATATCTTTTCTTCCTGTCTCTACCTTCCTTCCATTCTGAATTTACATGTCATTCATAAAATATTGACTATTTGTCAACCAACTAGTTGGCAAGCCCTAAGCCTGATACAAGCAGAAATTTGTGAAGGTCTCACAGTACTTAATGTGAGCATAATTTTAACAGGAGCTGTCACAGGGCACTGTGGGAGACCGGAGCCCCCTCCCCTATGAAACTCACGGGAAGGGGTTGCTCACACCCATCCAGCAAGTCAATTCTGGAGCCTCCCTCATACTCGTCAGGCCATTTTCTCAGCTACCAGACGCCATCTGACCAGGAGCTAAGTCTGAGAGTAATGATGGGAGATGGGAATGTACTGTAGACTCCTTCAAGGTTCCTACCAGCAGACCTGTGGGCTGAGGAAAGGGAAGTCACCTTGATTCTCCAAATCGGTGAACTCTGTAAATCAAGGTGCTCTGAAGTGTGTGATGATTATGTTAGGTGTACTATTTAATCTGTTAAGAGAATTGATAAAGCTTACTTAAAACTTGTTTCAGGCTGGGCTCAGTGGCTAACGCCTGCAATCTCAGCACTTTGAGAGGCCTAGGTGGGCGGATCACTTGAGGTCAGGAGTTGGAGACCAGCCTGGCCAATAGAGTGAAACCCCGTCTTTACTAAAAATATAAAAATTAGTCAGACATCGTGGCAGGTGCCTGTAATCCCAGCTACTCAGGAGGCTGAGGCAGGAAAACTGTGGAGGTCACAGTGAGCCGAGATTGCACCACTGCACTTCAGCATGGGTGACAGAGTGAGATTCTACCTCAAAAAACCAACCAACCAACCAACCAAATAGCTTGTTTTAATAATAGCCTGTGTCACAGGCAAGCTTGGGCAATTTTTTAGAAAAATAGAACATTTTGGTTATAATCTATTAAACTGCCTTACGAAGCTAAAGGTAGAAAATTCACTAGAGTAATGGTTCATTGGCAAAATCTGTCCAAATCCTTAAGAAACACCATAATGAAATATCATTATATCTCTCCTTCCAGAGAGCCTCATAGTTTGCAAAGTATTTTTACTTTCAGTACTTATTTAGTGTTTCAGTCCTCATAATGGCCCAGAAATGGGGTAGGGCAGGGGATTATTTCTGCCTGGTTGAGACTTGGGTCTGGAGGCCAGCCAGCCTGTCCCTGAGTCACATGGCTCACATCCAGTGAAAATAGGTGTCTGGCACCCTTGCTTCATTCTCAGTCTGAGCTGGACCATTTTGCCTTGGCTGGCTGTGCATGTTATTTTCCAGCCGACTTTGAATATTCTCAAGGACCTGATTTCTTTCCTAGTTCATATCATAAGCTCTCATACCTGATTCTGCTCTTCTCACCTGACCTCTGCTTCCTATTTACCTCAATTAAAACTCTGTTCTACTCCTTCGATTAGTTTACTTGCAACTGTTCCTGGGAAATACCTTTCACACTCAAACAACACTTCTGCAATTACTGGTACTGCCACTAATATTGCTTGCATTAACAACAACAACAACAACAACAACTGCAGCAGCTCTCATCTGAGTACTTACAACGAGTCAGACACTGAGCTTTCCATATTTTATCTCATTGAAATTTTGAACCTCATACTACTCCTATGACATAGGTAATGATTTTCATCCCTATTGTACAGGTAAGTCACAAAGAATATAGGTAACCCTAGAAAACGCAGCTGAAAGAACACAGGCTTGCATTCTGGTTCTGCTATATACTCACTGTGTGGTTTTGGGCTCATTATCTAATCTCTCTGTACTTCATATGTAAAAAATGTGGATGATGATTCCTGCCATCTGAGGATGCTGTGAAGACTAAATGGGAAAGAGCCTGGCATATAGTAGGATCTCAAAAAAAAAAAAAAAAAAAAAAGAGTTTGCCTTTCTATTTTAGGACTTTTATCTATGACTTCTAGTTTGTGTCAACAAGGATAACCACTCCTGGGTACTGCTATGAAGTGGAGTCTTTGGAATTCCAGATGCCATTTTATAAAAAAGCAATTGTAAAAACTTTTCCTTCTTCACTAAACATCAACTATAGCTGTATATTTAATCAAGGAGAGAGAGGGAGGGATCTTTTCTGGTAGAAGTATAGGAAACCGTTTTAGATTTCAGGGGTGGTGGAGCGTGACGGATGCAGTGATGTGTAAGCATTCGGTTTGAGATCTGAGGGGGTGACCTTGGGAACTAATTGAGTGCACAGACTTGCTCTGACAAAGAAACCCCTGTATTGGTTAAATAATGTATAAGAGATTTCCATCGGGCAATGGGCAAAATGGAATTATTTAGCGTATTTCCATTCCAATGAGTTAATCAAGATAATTGCTGTTTTCCTGGATCTTTGTCTTTTCTTTGTAATTAACAAGGTCCTTGTTTGGAGAAAGGAATTTAGCCAGTGAACTTTGTACAAATTGCTATGACACTTTTGTTCAAATTATATTTAAAAATCGATTACAGATCCGTTTTCTTTGCATTCTGCTAGGACTGTTAGAAACTGATGCTTGATTAAGTTTGAGAAAAACTTTAAGGAGTCAAGTTCATTTGGAATTAACAAACTCAGTGTGGTGGTGGGGGATGGGGTGGCATATAGGGAGGGCAGCAGGGCAGCACTGAGAAAGCCCAAGCTCTAGCATCAGACTTGGACTGTGATCCCTGTTCTGCCACGTCTCACTGTAAGACAGTGGGCAAAGGAGCCTCCAGGGCCTCAGTTTCTTTGTCTGTCAAATGGATAATATCACCCATCCTCGGAGCTGTTGTGTGGATTAAATGCACTGGCGTCACTTGTAGCCTGTAGCTGATGCTAAACAAGGCTAACTCCTTCCCCACCTCTTACATGCTTATTTAATGGTGACATATTCAGCAATCTCAGTTGTCTGAACCATGGCTAAGACCTCAAAAAGCAGCTTAAAAAAATCTAAGTAGAAAGAGAGATGTTAGTCCGTTCATTAAAATATCTCCTAGAGGAACACCCCAGATGTATATATTTAATTTTGGCTAGGATTATAATAAGCTGAACTTCTGGTTCTCTGACCACGCCTCTTAAGAAGTCCTCTACTGGAGCGAGAGTAGAGAAATGAGCTACTTGAGGTGGGCACTAGGACTGAAACAAATAGTAGGTGGAGAAACCCTACCCTTTAGATCCCGGACCTAATAAAGTAATGGTTTAAAATCACTTCAGGCAGGAGCAAAGGGGTCTATATCCTCGTTTCCCCACTTCCTAAAAGCTCTCTTCATATCATAGCATAATATGCAATTGTTGTTCCTTATTAATGACCATGAATCATAAAAATAAGGTTTCATTATGTCTGTATAATGTGTTTGAGAAGGGAAGTATGCAGTACACTCCATAAGAAAAGTTCTGTGCAAAATGGTTAATGAAAAGGATGGTTTTTTTTTTTTTTTTGGAATTTGAAGATGTGAGTTTCAATTATGTGGAAAATTCATCCACATGTGCCTATTCCTTCTCCCCTTGCCACATTTCTGGACAGTCGTCATATGAAGATGCTAGCACTTCATCAGGTAAGTACTTTTCATCTACACCATCTCCCTGTGGGATGCTGGGCAGGTATCCACTGTATCCATTCTACAGATGTGGAAACCGAGGCCAAGAGGGAGTAAGTCCATGGTCGAGTGGGGACTGATATGCAACTCCTGTGACTCTAAAGCTTATGCCTTCTCCACCAGACCATTTCCTTCCTAGGAGAAATCATGTGGAATATAAATGTATTATAGGTAATGGTTTTTATCCCAAATCCTGAATTAAAATAAAATACTCCACCAATTTATCTCTAATCCTACAATGAATTAATGAAACAAAACCATTGAATGGCCTTGTTTTGGTACTTACTCATAAAATGTTGTCCATCCATTTTCATTGCTTTTGGTTGCCAGAAGGCCAGAATTGCCGTGGTATGTCATCATGGCCAACTCGTGTCCTTGTGTGGTCACACTCTTGAGTGCACTGTTGGTGCCCATAGTCACCCAGTATACCTGGCCATCTGGGACCACCAGCCAGAGGGGCATCCCAGTAGAGTCTCGGCGGACATTTACCATGTTGCCATTGTTGTCTGTGATGAGTGTGACATCACCATCCCCAGTGTAGGTGAAGTTGTACAGGTAGTCTCCCGTGGGCAGGCTTTGGGTGTACAGGTGCTTGCCAGTGGTATCAAACAGATAGAGCTCCTGGTCAATTGGTGAAGACAGCTCATACATGTTCTGGGTATTGAGGAATGGCTTGTTCTTCCGGATAAACCGAATTCGGATATTCCCAAGGTCTGCCACATAGAGCTCCCCATCAGCACACACAGCCAAGGAAGATGGGGTATTCAACTTTGCATCCTTGGCATAACCATCATCTCCGGAAAAACAGTCACAGTTGGCATCATTTTTACAGTCACAGCCACTGGGGGCCCCTGCAACAAGTGAGATTTCTCCGCTAGTGGTGACCTGCCTGATGCGGTTGATCTTTTTCTCATCGGTCTCAGCGATATACAGGACCCCGTTGTGTGAAACAGCCAAAGCGGTGGCCGACTCCAGGGTAGCGTGGATGGCCACCTTGCTTAGCAGAAAGTGGTCAATGCCAGGGACCTGGCAGTGCATGGGCCTCCCAGCGACAATGCGCACCTGGTGGTTTTCAGATATTTGCAGGACCACATTGTTGTCCAGGACATAAAGTGAGTTGTCCATCGGGTTGATGGCTAAGTCTGTGGGCCACTCCAGGCGAACCTGACAATGAAGACACCGATACTCAAATGACTGGCAAGATGCCCACCACTACTCTATCCCATAGCCCATGTAGCCCGTAACAGTGTCCACAGTGGCTTCATATATAGTCTTGCTTGATCCTCATGCAGCCTATCATCAACAATGACGTTAATGTCAGCACCCTGATCACTGAGAAACCGTGAAAGAGCTGCTCACATTTGATGGTCTCATTAAAATGACAAAACATGAAGAAGGAGTTAACAACAAAAACAAAACAGTAGGTAAAAGGGTAGACTTTGGAGTCAGATAGGGCTGGGTTCAGCACCTAGTCCGCTACTTATGACTGTGGGAAAGTTACTTTGCCACTCTGAGCCTCAATAGTCACATATGGGAAATGGGAATGACAACAGCGCAGAGCCCCTTACCCACCATAATCCACCAAATAATGGCAGCTGATGTTCTAGAGATGGAGGGAAAGGCAGATGGAACGTGGAGGCTGAAGTGGAGTTGTTCTGAGGCTTAGAAAAATTATTCAGGCATGGTTGATATGATACACGTATGATTTCTCAATTCTTTGAGTTCATGGATTCACAGCTGGCTGGGTGCTACAGATATAAAGACAACATAACCATGGCCTCTGTCTGTCATAGTTCTAGACCAGTGATTCTCGAATCTGGCCTCACATTCAAATTATCTGTGGAGATTTTAGAAAATAATGGTGTGCATAACCCACCCTTGGTGAGCGAAATCAGATTCCTGGGTGTGGAGCCTGGGCATGGGCATTATTTCAAAAAGCTTCCTGAGTGATCCTGACGTGGGCTTGAGAATCATGACTGGATCCTTGCTCCTCATGTGTGGTCATCAGCATCAGCTCACCTAGGAGCTGAGCATAAATGCAGAATGACAGGCCTCCCCCAAACCTACTGAATCAGTATCTGCAGTTAAGCAAAATCCCTGGGTGATTTCTACGCACACTGAAGTTTATGAAGCCCTGCTCCAGACAATAGTTTCTAGGACCTCAGAAAACACGTCCACCTGGAAGGGATTACTGAGGCTGATAGTAGGAACAAGGTATTCAGAAGTGCTGGGGCCCACATGGAGCCTCTTCTGAGCCAGGCTGGGAAACTGGCATGGGTCATAGTGAGCCTTCAAGTGGGCACCCAGGGGGTTGTAGCTGGCATGGTATAAGGAGAGGAATGTTTTCTTTGGTGGACATGGAGGCTGGATTGTTGGATCTATCACACTGGGAGGTGTTGGCATTAAGGGGAACCCTTTGCCAACTGTGTCCCTAGGATGTCCAGCCACATTTTGTGTGGGCTGGAAGCGCCGACAGGTGCACCCTACTGCTGATTTTTCCACCCACCTAAAAATTCATTGCCTTAGACTTCCTGAGCCCCCTACAAACCCTTGATATTTGGTCCAATTTGGGGCTTGCTTAAGCAAGTGTATACCTTTATTTTTATTTACATATGTATATATGTGTGTGACAGGGTCTCACTCTGACACCCGGGCTGAAGTGCAGTGATACAATCTTGACTCACTGCAGCCTCCACTTCCCAGGCTAAAGTGATCCTCCCACCTCAGCCTCTTGAGTAGCTGGTACTACAGGCATGCACCGCTGTGCCCAGCTAATTTTGGGTATATATGCATATATATTTGCATACATACATAATATATATATTAGACAGGGCTTTGCCATCTTGCCCAGGCTGGTCTCAAACTCCTGGGCTCAAGCAATTTGCCTACTGTGGCCTCCCAAAGTACAGGGATTACAGGTATGAGCCAGCATTTTGGCCTAAGTGTATGCTTTTAGATAAGAAGTTTTTCTTCCAGGAATTTACTAATATACCATTGTCTATAAGAGTGTTTTTAATAATGATGAAGCCATTTTTAATAATAATGAAAACTGAGAACCAATTCAAATGCATAACAACTGAGAATTGGCTAAATAATAGTACACTTAGTTTACTTATAAATTAGAGTACTGTATATAGTTGTTAAAAGTGATGTTACAGATGGATATTTAATGACATGGAGAAATGTTTGCTATATATTAAGTAGAAAGGACAGGTTACAGAACTGTAAGCACAGTGGGATACTAACTGGGGAAAAAAAAACAAGAAGTTTAGCTAGATTATAGATAAAGCAGAGATTAAATGCTTGAGGGATATATAAGAAAATGTTTACCATACTGGGATTAAAGGTGATTTTAATTTTCTTCCTCATGATTTCTAACTTCTTATATTTTCTACAATGTAAATGTGGTGGTTTACCAATGTAAAAAGAAACCCCAATACATTATATACACACAAGTGAGGCTGCTCCATCTGTTTCCTTCAGCTCAGGGACATTCTCAGAGGGGCAGGGCCTTTCTCAGTTCTTCAGAGCACAATCTTCAGGTCCTGCTTCCTAAAGTCTTCTTGCCCCCTTACTCCCAGCTCCCTCTGTCCCTGCAGACGGGCCAGGGCGCCTGCAGACGGGCCAGGGCTGCTGCTTCCCACTCCCCACTCTCTCTGGGCAGTGTTGTGGCAGCTTTTGGTTGCATCAAGAACATAGTTTGCTCTAAAGTGACAGGGGAATTTTCAATTTCTTAAAACGCACTTCTTGTCAACACTGGCTGCTAAATATTTTATGCCTTCTGGTCCTGTGGCACCTTGGGGACTTGCTTGCGAAGACCTTTCTGCCTGTCGTTATGATAAAAAGATGGCTCCTTGATGGGAGGAGTGGGGGGTGATAGAGTCAGTGGAGGGAGATGGGAAGGGGAAGAGAGGAAGGAATGAAGAGCAAGTGCTTTCAAACACTCCCCCGTATGCCATGTGCACAGAGGTGCCTGGGAAAGGAGAAGGGGCACTGCTCTTGGAGTCAGTCCTCACTCTGTCACACTGCCTGTGTGATGATGCTGCACCAGACCAACTACCTAAGCCTCTCTGGTTTCACTACCCTATTAGTGATAATCATGCTGAGACTCGATTTTCCATCCCCAAAATGAATGGACTACACTTCATAATTTCAGAAGGCTTTTAGCTCCCGTGTTCTATGGTTCCAGTGTGGAACGGGATCCTCTCCCCTGTCCACCTGAGCATTCTGTGCCTTTTTTAAAGCACTTGGAGCTGGCTGCCTTGTTGCAGAGTGGTTTTCTTGGAAAAATGGATTGTCAAATGAATGAATGAAGGAACAAAGGAAGGATCAGCGAATGGTATAGAGGGAGTGAGAGACTAGGGTCTGGACATCTCACTTCCTATTCCACTTCCACAACTGCTACATGTGTCACCTAACTCAAGTTTTTTAAACACTCAACTTCTTTCTCTATATGTAAAAGGGGATAATACATATTACATAGGGTAGATGTGAAGATTAAACAATACAATGTACAAGGAAGTTATTTGTGAATTTTGAAGGGAACTAGTATTCACATCCTATTACTAGCTGCTGGGCACTGTACTAGACAATTTATGTACATAATTTCATTAAAAAATTCATTTCCATATCCCTGATGGAATCTGGTACAGGGCTCTACATTTATAAATGCCTTTTCTTTCACCACACTGCAGTATTCTTATCTGTAAGATGGATTATTGTGATAGCTAAGTAAGAAAAGAGAAGTTGTACTTATCCTGTACTGCCATTTCTAACAGAGTGCCTAGCACATACTAAGTTCTTATTTTGGAGCCTAAGCAGAGTTATTCTCTGTCCGTGGTGGCCATCTCCACTTCTTCACAGGTTGCAACAACTTCCTTCTGTTCCTTCACTGCTATGTGCCTCTCTCTTTAGTTTCTTTTTGGGCCTGGGTTTGTCTCCTCCCAAAGGAGCTAGTCCAAGTTCCTTGGCTCTCCCCTTTGCACTCTTGCCTCTGAGCTGTGTGCTCTCTCTAGCTTACCTCCATGCTCCTCACGGGGCAGCAGAGTATAGAGGACGCTCTGAGAATGAAAGCCCGTGACACCTGCTTATATGTGTCTGTAAAAATATATTGCCAGTATTGGAGAGTTTGGTTAAAGAAAATCCCATGCTGAGATTCAGACAAAGGCAGTTAGGGCCAGGGGTATTGAGATTTCAGTCCAGGATTTTTGAATCTAAGTGTGGATTTTAGCATCCCCACCCCCCCCGCCACCATATGCCAGTTGTCTTCCAAGCCTTTGATCGGATTCCTTGGCAGTACCTCTATCTAAAGTTAAACAATTTTCCGATGTGTGGATTGAAAATTTTCGGCACCCTGTGCTGGCTGGTTGAGGGCCCATTTTGAGAACTGAAAACACTTGTATGCACATCCTTAGGCCATGGAGGCTTTCTGATGGGTAATTCAAGCTTGCTCACAGACCAGAGAGAGAAACTCTCTAGCCAGCAAGTGTAAGCCTGCCAAAACTGCAAAGACAAGTGGCAGAGAACAGCTTCCATTCTGGAATGAAACAGTCACATTAGCTGGCGCACAGGGAACCATCCCAGCATGTGACGGGGAGGTGACATGAGTGCTGGGGCCACCAGCAGCATCCACAACGCTCTGCGGAAGGATTCAGTGATACATATCAGTAACAGAGGCAGGCACCAGTAAGGCTGGTGGCAGGTGCCAGTTAGTGGAAAAGGCCATGTGTGTGCAGGCTCCCTAAAAATGAAGAGGTTTAAAAGCTAAATGTTGCTGGGGCTGAAATCAATGTGCAATTTGATGTAACTCAATGCTCCTAATTTCCCAGGTTTTGGTAATGTTGGCAAGACTCAGCACAGGCCACTGATTCAGCATGGGCCCGGCTGGGCCAAAGGATCCAGCAACAAAGGACATACAAGTCATCACAGGGTGTACTAAGAACATGCTGGATAGCCAGTCACTTTTATCTCTTTTTGACCTATACTGGGTTCCTGGTATCCAGATATTAATGTCCAAGCTCTTTGGCATGGCATGGCAAGGTCCTTCCTCACCTGGACCCAAACCATGCTTCCTGTTTCAACTCCAGCCACCTGCTTCCAAGAATCCTACACTCTGGTTTTTCAATTTTCCCATATGCTTTGAGTGTACCAGCCTCATTAACATCTTTATGGCTTTGCACATGCTGTTCCCTTTGTGTGAAATGTCTTCTTTTCTTTCTTGCCACTCAGCAAACGCCTATTCTATTCAACCTGTAAAACTTGCACAAATGCCACCTCCTGTGTGGAAGCAGGCACAAGAACTTCTGTTCACTCAGCACCTCTGAAGGGCCAAGCAATGCTAGAAGTCGTGCATGCATTGTTTCATGTATCTTCAGGGTAATCTTGCTGGGCTGATGTGAATTATTTCCATTTTATAGATATAAAAAGTGAGGCTCAAAAGACTTTAGAAACTCATCTAAAGTTACTGAATGAGTGATTGGCAAAAGCTAGGATTCAGTCAATCGATTCATCAATTGACAAATAAGGACTGTGCTCATATTTGGGTAATCACGCACCCTGGTTACTGACAGAATTTCTGACCTCATGTAGCTTAGAAAGAGAACAGGCAATGTAAAAATACTCATCAGTGTTACCAAAGAGAAAGTTCAGGTGGCAATGGATTTAATGTCCCACAGTGTACAGCTCTGTCCATCCTACTCTGCTGCTGTTGACGTTTCCTTGAGGAGACTTCTTCACTGTCCCCTGAAGTTCCACTTGTTACCCCGATGGTGAACTCCCAGGACATGGACGTATCTTACTTATCTTTGTGTCCTTGGTGCTCATCACAGCCTGGCACCAAGTAGGTGCTCTTTAAAGGCTTGTCAGTGCAAAGATGAATGGCCAGCAGGCTGGCTGGGTGGCAGATGAGAGGATGAGCGGGCAGTCCCAGGGCTCTGAGATGAAGCCATCTTACCTGGGAAATATCCATGACAGAATCACAGCTGAGCGGCCGGGCTGATGTGAGATCATTGGAACCGAGGAGGGTGGAGATGATCCCATTCTGATCGATGCGTCTGATCATGGTGCCATCCACGAAGTAGATCAGCCCAAACTTGTCTACTGTAATTCCTGGGGGCAGAGAAGCCAAAACAAAAATTCAGCATCAGAGATGACAATGACCTACACATTCCTGGAGCCGTGCTAGTTGACAGAGCAACTCCTCTACATGATTGGGTTTGATCCTCCCACAACCTTCATTCCTCTCTTAAGGATGAGGAGGCTGGGACTCAGAGGGCTTCAGTGACTTGTTCAAAGCAGGGATTAGAACCCAGGTTTTCAGATCTTATGGGACTCTGGTCCTCCCACCTCACTGCCTCCTGAGATTTTAATCTATCACCTTAGCCATCCACTAAAACTGGATTCATAACTTCTGGGGGTTTTTTTAACACTAGAGATTTAGTGGTAATGAGGATCTTTTTCAATATTAACACTGAATTATTTCAATTTACCTACTTCTGAAGCTCTGTAATTATAATAATCAGTTCCCCTTTTTGGTAACCATTTTTCTTTTTTTTCTGAGACAGAGTCTCACTCTGTCACCCAGGCTGGAGTGCGGTGGTGCAATTTTGGCTCACTGAAACCTCCACCTCCCAGGTTCAAGCAATTCTCCTGCCTCACCCTCCCGAATAGCTGAGACTACAGGTGTGCACCACCACCCCTGCCTTTTAAAATTTTTTTTATTTTTGGTAGAGGTGAAGTTTCACCATGTTGCCCAGGTTGGTCTTGAACTCCTGACCTTAGGTGATCCACCCACCTTGGCCTCCCAAAGTGCTGGGATTACAGGCATGAGTCACCTGTGTCCTTCATGCTTTTCTATTTATTATTTTAGCCCCATTCGTCATTACAAAAGTACAGCATCTAAATAGAATCCTGTGGATCTGTGTAGAGAATATCGTTGAATTTCTAAAGGTGACACTTTGAGGAGTCAGAATCATTACTCAACAACACCTGCTCCATTCACCAGACCATCTCATCCTGTTAACTATCTCCCTGACCCAGATTGAGTGATCTTGGGCAAGTCACTGAGCATCTCTGCCTTTGTTTTCCCAGCTGTCAAACAATGGGATCGTTCCAAATCTGTATTTCTCACTCTTGGATGTCTATGGGAATCCCCTGGGGAGCTTGCTAAAATGCACCACCTAGGTAGCTGCTTCAGAATCTCTCAAGTGGAGTCTGAGCTTCTATCTGCATTTCTGACAAGCACCTTGGGTGATAATGACACAAACCAGAGTCTGAGAACCACTCCACTACATCAGTACCTCTCAGCCTGTGATGTGCATTGAGGCACCTAAAGAGTTTTTTCAATATACACCTGCTGGCCTAACTCCTGGAAATACTAATTCAGGGGACAGCTGGGACTGGGAGCAAGGCATGCTTTAATAGTGTTCATGGGTCATAGTAATTCCCACCCCAGGTTCAGAATCGCAAGAGACATAAGACATAAGACATAACCATGAACTGTCATGGGATACAGATGAGACATGGCCCCGGGGAGTACCCAGTTTAGATGGGAAGGCACAGGAATGAATCAGAACCATGTGAACATCATAGGAAAGGACTGACTCGAGAGGGCCATGGTAAAATGCAGGTGATTCTGCTCACTTTGGTCTGCTCTGTTTTCTGGGGAAGGCAGTGGAAGAATGGTCAGGAAGGCTTCACCAAAGTGGAGACTTGAATTATAAAATTTTCCAGTTGTATTAAAAGACATATTACTTCATTACTTCACTTTTAAGTCTTCATTTCCTCATTGATAAAACAAGGATTCTAACATTTGACTGACCGGTAGTAATTAGCCTTCAATAATTATTAACAACCCTTATAATGATGAGAAAGTGGCCAGCACTTTGAGGGTTTCAAGGCCCTCGTCTGGGGGCCCATGTATCTCTCACTGGCCAGCAGCGTGCTTTAAGAAGCCCAGGGGCCTCTGAGTGCTGAGGAACTGCTGGAGCACCAGCTGTTCCTTCTTGGGCTGTTCAGGCTGGAGAGTGATTTCACACAGAGGAAGAGGCAGCCTCAAGGCTGGGAAGCCTTTCTCATGGTCCTGTCTCAAATGTACATTAATTTCATTCTTTAAGTGCCAAGACAGACCTTTTCTTGTCTGCCTAGCTATGCCCTGTCTTCCTCTTCCATCTGCTAGGACTGATGAATGCTCCATGAATAGTCGGGCTTCTTGTTTATAGAGTTGGCTGCACAGGCTAATAGAAGTGATCTGTCCCTGATTAATTACTTGCTTTATTTCTCCTTTTGTTGTGTTAAGTAGATGGACATCTTTTCTCCTCCCTGCTACAAAGTGCCTGCATATCATGGCACCCTTGTCATTTCTATCTGGGTTAATCACGGGCTTTTGGGTAAATGCACTGCCACTTCATCTGTGTGAGGATGGGGGGGCTGCAAGAGTGGGGAAGCAAACACATGTGTGGAAACAACTGAAAAAGCCCTGGAGAGAATAAAAATTCTCAGAAAAAAATGGTTTTAAACCTAGGAGAGTAGAATGTTGTGGCTGAAAAGGGTCTTGGGGATTATTCAGCCCAGCCTGTTCATTCATTGACCAATGGGGAAACTGAGGCCCAGAGGAGGAGGTCCCAGAGCCAGCCAGTGGCAGAGGAAAACCACATAGGGCTTCTAAGTGCAAGCCTACTGTTCCTTCCATTCCCGGCTGCTCTCTAGTATTTGGAAATCATAAATAGGAGGGATTAACCTTTGTTGATACAGTATTTACCCCACACAATTACCACCTGACACTCCAGGTATGTGGTAGAGACAATGTGATATGATGTGATGTGATATAACAGAACAACAATAATAGGAATCATCATTTATGGGATGTTTACCATGTGCCTGGTACTACTGTACTAAGCATTTACATTCATAACAATATTCAATCTGTATTACAACTATGCAGCATATCCCTGTTACATAGATAAGGAAAATGAGGCTCGGAGAGCTTAAGTGATTGCCCAAAGTTACTCAGCTGTAGATGACAAAGTCTGAGTTTAAATGTCTGATTTCACTAGAATCTTCTGCTTTGATTTGAAACTGGGCCCTGAAATCTGGAACTATTTAATAATACAATCATTTATAAAGTTTCTACAGAATTATTTAACATATTAATTTTGAGCATCAGAATAAGCCTAGGAGGTTGACAGAGATGACATTATTACCCCCATTCTATTAGTGAGAACCCTGGGGCTTAGACACTGTTAAGTCACTGGCTATAGGACTTGTAACAGAGTGAGCACTCCAGTGAGTATGGATAATGATGGCTTCTCTAAATAGCTTTCCCAGTCATCAAGGCACAGGGGTCTCTCTTGGTTCTATACCCCCACGTACAGCTCTTTCTTCCTCTTGCCCAAGTTACAGTGATTTATACTCAAGTCTTATTTATTCTGCTACAACGAACTTATCTATGCAACCACTGTACTCTATGTACTCAAATATTTGCTGACTAAGAGAATGAAAAATTGTGACAGCAGGCATTTAGAGGTTCAACTTCTTCAGGGACTCAGAATTGAGACCTACAGTTAACCCACCCAATAGCATATAAACATATGAAAACGTGATGCACTAAAATGTTTTTTGTATAACAATAACATAAGAAACAGCATACATGTCTAATAGTAGAGGACTGGGACATCCATTTGCTGGAATATTTTATAGTCATTAAAAATGAGTACACAGAAACCATTTAATGACATGGAGAAATGTTCAGGATCTAGCATTTGGGGGAAAACAGCATTTGCTAAAACAGTTTGCTTAATGTGATCTCATTGCTTTTAGTAAACACTACATACACACAAACACTTTGAAAAAAGACTAGGAGAGAAGACAGGAAATGTTAACTGGGAATATTTCTAGCAGGTGGAATTATCACAGTTTTCACCATCCTCCCTATATTTCTTGGTATTTTCCAAAAATTTTCACAATATCAATCATGCATATTTTTCTGAAATGGACAATATCCCAATAAATGTTACTGACAATGTTTCTAAGGCAAGGTCTTACCCCTGGGATTGGTAAGTGTGGCTTCCGTGGCCTTCCCACCATCCCCGCAGCGAGTGTCGTCAAAGGGGAGGCACTGGTCACCTGTCCCTGCAACCACCTCAGAGTTCTTGACAAGGTCCTTCACCACCACGGTGGACTTGATTTTAAAGACCCGCCGGCTGTTGGTGTCAGAAAGGAAGACGGCCCCGCTCATGGGGTCTGTGGTCAGGTAGTATTTGTGTGCTGGACTGTGACTAGAAAACAAAGACATGGCGAACTGGTGGGCATTTTCTTCTTTCCTGCGAGTAGTAGTTAGAGATGCACAGATGAACCCCTGCCCTTTAGAATCCAAGTCAAAATGTCTTACGGAGACAATACCCCTATTTTGGGTGACGGTTCCCCAACTTTTCTGACCTCAGTGGCTGGCTTAACTATCCTTCCCACCCACTGTTCTTGCAAAAACCCCTTGCCAATGATTGAGATGACCAGCTCAGTGCCATGTTTGTGTCAGGTGCTAAATACATGCTTTCTTAAGATGATGATCACTGAGGCCGACCAGAGGTGGCCTATTCATTCAGGCTAGAAACATGGATGCTCTTGACTTTAAAAAAACACTTCAAGAGTTCGCAAACACAAGCCCCTTTCCAGAGGATTTTTACAGCAATCCCTCATCTCCATCTTGGGACTGATGGATGAAACCCCGGCTGGCTCTGACTCCTGGTCAGCATCAACATTCTCTTTAGTTGATACTCATGTTATACTTATCAGGAGCCCAGGAGTCTCCCTCTGGCAGTCAGATATAAATAAATGGCAGCATTAGTTTGTAATTTGCAGTGAAACCCAAGAAAAAAAAATAAGCAACACAGAAGAGCAGTGCTGATGATGTTTCTGTTTCTGGAAAACAGTTATAAAGACCAGGCTTGTGCCAACAGAGGAGAGAGAAGCTTGACTATACAGAGGCGCTGGGGAGACAAAGCACTGTCTCTAGCCATAGGGTGAGGAAAAGGCACAGGATTTGGAATCAGATCAGTCTGGGTTCCAAGTCTAGCTGTGTAATTTCCTGGTTCTTAAACTTGGGCAAGTTACCTGGCCTCCTGAGCCTCAAACTGTCTTTATGTGCAAAATGGAGGTGTTAATAGCTACCTTGCTGGTATGTTGGGGAAATTTGAGAGAAATAAAAAGCTACTTTTAGCATAGTGTAGATGCTCAATAATAATAATAATAATTTTAATTACCAATGATGTGTCTCTTCTTGCATTTGGAGACGACTATGTAGTAGATATCTTTTACTAAATCTGAATTTTTCTATCCCCTGGTACTCATACATAATTTCTTTCAAGTCTAGAGCACACTGGAGTTGAACTCGGTGCTTCTAAGAAGCTAATGTGGAGTTCCTGTGCATGGCCTGAACATTTGCTGGGCCCTAAAACTGATTCTCAATATTGGCAACCCCATCCAAATCTCCGGCAAGTACTTGATTCAAATGAAGCTCTCTCTATTTGGCCTGGATGGCCTAGTGCTGGCCATTTTCACTGTACAGTGAGGCATAAACTGTGCTAGGGGACTCAGGACAGACTGAACAGTGATGAGAGCACCATCAGGGCCGGAGCCGGAGACCCCCTTCAAGATGAATGCAAGAGAATTCGAGAAGTCTAGAAAGAAGCTATTTTGCATTTATCAGGTATGTAAGTCTTGGGTTCTTTTGAAAAGCAAAATTTTATTTTACAGATTGGTGATTTATGAATTCCCTAAGAAGGCTGGGGCATCATAATCTTTTCCATATCTAGGGCACTGAGGGTTTTAATCTGGCCCTGGGAGGTTTGTCATTATAAATGTCTTTTGTCTTGGACAGTGTACTTGGGGACTGGCTACCTCAAAAAGGGCAAGGCATCTAGACTGAAGGCTTTCCTTCCTTTGTTTTCTCTCCCTAAATTCAACTAATCTGGTATGATTTTCTCCAACTGTCCTTCCTCCTTAACCCTAAAACTACTGTCCCATCACATCTTTTCTGAACCAAGGGCAGGTCTCTCAGCCTGCAGCCTGGGTCCTCTTCAAGCCATTCTTCTTGATCTAACCCAAATACCAATCTGCCATTTCAATGCTTTCCCTTCTGGGACTCCCTGATTCTTACAGAGAAATTAAGACTCGCCCTCCCCCAACAAATCCCAGATTTGTGCTGTCCTGCTCCACCCTCCCAGCCTCCCTCTCCTCCCAGACACCCTGCATCTGGCCACTGACCTATCTGTCCCTGCAGCACACCTCAAGCCTGCCTGCACCTGCTGCTCCTGCTCTGCAGTATGCCCCGCTCCTCCTTTTCCTACTCACTCTTCACATGTCAGTTTAAATGCTCCCTCCTCTGCAAACCTTCCCCAGCCTTCTCCCTGTGTATGGAGATCTGTATCCATTCATTCCTGGATGATAGGACATAATGCTGTGACTGTTCATTTATGTGTGTCTCCAAAACCTGATCATCAATGCTTGAAGGGAAGAGACTGGATTTTATTCATTTTTGTTTTTCCAATGTTCTGCTTTGTGCCTTCTAGCCAATAGCAGTCACCTGTTTTAAGTAGATGGCATGTCTATTTTTAGATTACTTAGGTAGTGTTTGCATTTACATTATTTAGCTCTTCTTTTACTCCTCTTCTGGAGGTAGCAGTAAACAAGACAGGTATCCTGTCTATTTTGAAATGTTCCCTGTGACTTACCCTTTAATGTAGCACAGATATAATCTTCCCAGGTGACATCAATTCTGGCTAAATAAAATGCAGTGACCTTAGATCCTACTTTGTAATGCTGGGGCAGCCTTGATCTTTCTGCTTTCCTGATGACAGCGCTGAGGTGGGGTGATGTTTCTCAGTTCTTTGCATGTCACTCATGATGAACTGGTGCTATTTACCCTCGGCAGCAAATGGTCCCTGAGGGGGTATGGTGAAGGGGCCCTGTCCACTTATATTAGCCCCCTAAGTTTCCAGCACATGTCTCCCTGCACTGCTCCAGAGAAGTGTCACTCATGTGGAGTTTCTCAGATCAGTGAATTCCAGGACAGGGTGGCATTGTCAGGATTACCTCAGAGTCTATAAAAGCTGTGGCTGCATCTTTCAGCCCAAGGACAAATTTGAGGTCTGGTGGTAAGTTAAGCATAGGGAAAACAACAACTAGCTTTGAACTTAGAAGGTGTGGGCTCTCATTTGGGTGAGTCACCTAAATAGTTCAAATCGTAGGTCCCTTAGCTGTCAAATGACAAAGTCCCTGCTCGGCTATGCTCACAAGCTTGTCATTAGGATCAAATGAAATTATACATCTCAACAGCCCTTTCTAGTTTGCAGAGCTCTTAGAACACTCTTCAACTCATTTTGTCCTTGTGCCACCTGGCACTGGGAGCTGCACCTGCGTCTGTGATGCCCATCTAGACGCCACCAGGCTGCAGCGCCACCTGTCTGCAGAACAGAGCTGCAGAGATGACTACCACAGATAGGAATGCATCCGTGACCACCTACGGATGCCGATTCTGTCTCAGACACTGCGCTAGCACTCGATGCATGCATGACCTCATTTTCTTCACAACTACCATATAATGTAGGTACTTTTCTCCCTTATATTTCAGAAAACTGAGACTGGAAGAGGTGACATGACTTGTCTAGGACCACAGATTCTCAAGTGGCAGGATGAAATTCCAACCGAGTTCTGCTTGACTCCAAAGTCTGCGTTCTTTCTATTTCCGCACCCTGCTGCTCAGGATCTAAAAGCTTCCTCTGCCCATATTCACCTGGGAGTACCTGCTCATCTTCTGAGGTTCAGCTCATCTGTAATACCATTCCTGAACCCTCACTTCTTCCCCACTGCTAGAACTGGCCACTTCCTTCATTGTGTCTCCCCTAGAGCTTACGAAGTTTGTATTTTTAGTATCTGTGGCACCAATTAAACTTTTATGTTTGTCTCTTGGATGAAACCTTGAACTCCTCAAGGGCAAGGACTGACTACCAGTCTCTGCTGCTCTGCACTGTGCTGATGCAGAATAAGTGCTCCAGAAATTTCTGCTGAATTTATGAAAGGATATCAGCCTCCCTGGCTGGAGTATACATAGTAAACACTCACTGCTAACAATCTTAGAGTGGTGGTTTTCACACATGGCTACACATCAGAATGGCCTGGAGAGCTTTAAAAAAGGCCTTACCAATAATGATTAAAGGGCGTGGGCATCTATATCTTTGAGGTTTCTCCAGGTGACTTGGAGGCAAAGCCAGATTTGGGAACCATGGCCTTGAAGCAGTTCTTTTTAAACTTTAATGTGTCACCTGGAGCCTTTGCTAAAATGCACATTTCAGTTCAGTAGTTCTGGGGTGTAGAACTTGAGAGTCCATATTTCTAACAAGTTCCCAGAGCATGCCAATGTTGCTTGTCTGTTTTTTGAGCAGTAAGGCCTTAGAATACTCTACAAATCGTAAATGTCTCAGGGCATGAGATGGAAGATGGCCTACAGCTGAGGCGTCAGGCCTGGTTGTGTGGACAGGGAGCCATCTCCAGGAAAGGGACCATGTCTGATTCAATTCTGATCCCCAGTATCCTGAGCAGGGCTGGACACAGGGTAAGATCACAACTTCATTTTCAGTTTGCTGTAGAAGTCTCTGAGGACCCACATTGTTTTCTAGTTCCTCGAACATAACCTTAGTCTCTCTGGAAGTGACATAAAATCAAAAGGCCTTCCGGGTACCATTTCTGAAGTTAATGAGCTGAAGCCACGCTTCTTTCTACCCTCATTTTGGATGGTGTTGGGAATTTCCCAGCAGGAGCTGAGAGCCTAGGAGTCTGTAGAGACATACAGGCTCACTGGCGTCCGAGTGAGAATTCTCTTTGTGTCTGAGTAAGGTCTGCCTCGTTCAAAGGAGTGTCCTTCAACCACAGAAGGTGGCAGCCCTGGCAGAACTTAATTCCCTGGTTCTCAGAACCAGTGGAAGAGCCTGAGTGCTGGAGCCACACAGTCAAGGGTTCAAATACCAGTTCTACCATCCATCTGGCTAAGTGACCCTGGTCACATCACTTCACAGCCTTGGTTTTCTTAAGCTGAGAAATGGGGATAATCACATCTATTTCAAAAGATTATTTTGTTACAAAATTTCATGAAGAATATAAATCTCTGAGCATAGTGCCTGTTCCACTAAAAAATAAAATATTCAATAAAGGGCAGCTTTTAAGCAAAGCTGGTCACTTTAGAAACTCCTAGAAGATTTGGTGCATAATGGAAACACGAAGTATGTCATACTTTATTTTGTCCTGTTTAACCTATTTCCTGGGACAGTTAAGGGCTCTGAGTTAATATAATATGTGTAGCTGGGTTTGATGGACACTTGAGTTCAAATGTACTTGTGAAGAAAAGGCTTCAAACACCTTCTGTGACCCTAGGGAAGAGCTTTGGGAAGAGGCAAAGATGCTTGTTCCCTGAAGGAGTCCATAAAGGAAGATGCCCCGTGGATTATGGGTTTCTGACTGAGCATGCTTGGCATGGCAGGCTGGCACTGAGGCTGGAAAAGCAAAAGGCAGAGATGAGTCTGCCCTGGGGAAGCACACGCACAGGCTCAAGTCGCCAGTCGTGGGGCCAGACATATTACTGTGAGTGGCTGAGACAGTTAATGGAGGAAGTGGACACAACTGTGTAATTTTTAAAATCCATCTCCAACATTCACTGATGGGGACACTGAAGCCCAGAGAGAGGAAGCGATTTGCCCATATCCAGGCAGCAATTAACATCAGAGCTGAGCTCAGGCTTTTTGTCTCTTGGCTGTCTTTGGAAAACTGCAAGGCAGAAGGTAATTCCTTTTTTTCCCTTCAACTTTGGTTCACCTTAGAATAAGTTATTAGTACCCAAGAAAACAATGAATTGATGAAGGGTTTAAAGTCATACCATAAATATATAAAAAGATCTTTGAACATCAGAAACAAAATATTTCCAAACCACAACTCTTTCAGTTTATAGATGATGAGACTGGAAAGCAGAAACTCCCAAGTAATCAGCCCAAGGCCACACAGTGAATGTGCAGCAGGGCTGGACAGTACCTGGCTTCCTGATTCTTCCCTGCTATGTCCCGCTGGGTCATGGCTGCATCCTAGGCAGCTGCCACCACTAATTGAATGTTTCCACGTTAAATGCCACGTTTTAATCCAAGACCTTCATGTGAAATGTACTTCTGTGTTTTCTGCACAACTGAAGTTGAAGGCATGAACCATTAGATAGTTCAGTGTCATCCATACAAATGTCATCAAAAATCTCAGATTTCAGTGTCAGGAAAAAAACATTCCCCTTCTGAAGAATGGGTATGTTTTTCCATTTCTGATAACATAAAGTATGAAAATAATTATGTTTTCTTATTTACACTTGCTGCCAGGAAGCTCAGAGCCTAATCTGATAAATCACTTATATGTTTCTTCCTTTTTTCTTTTGTTACCAATTTCTATTTGATTTACTTTAATACATGTGTCTTTGGGTGTAAGAGGATTTAATTCCATTTTGGGAAAGATGGAGCCTCATCATTATCATATAATAATTTTTGTAATAAATTATAATACTGTTAACTCTATAGTATGTTATTATTATATTACTACTACTACTATTTCCGGAGCTACTCCCTGTGCCTGAAAGTACTAAACAGTTTACAAACATCTTCTGTGATCATTACAACAACACTCCAAGGGAGATTTTACTAACCTTGTGTTAGAAACTAAAGTTTAGAGAGATGAAGGAATTTTTTCAAGACCACATAACTGGGGAGCTTCAGTTTTCTCATCTGTCTACTGGATGTAATCATGAATATCTACTTCACAGAGTAGGCTGGGAATAGAATGCCACAATCCATGTAAAGCACATAACCCTCTATTTGCTACATAGTAAACGCTCTATACATGTTAATTATGAAATGATTATTATCCTATTTTCCACTTATATAATGAATATTATCTTAAAATAACACATATAATTATTACATGAAAAATGTATCTACTTTTATCAAAAAAGATAGAATCTGTCGGATTCTGGGTCTGTCTGACTCTTTCCACCACCCCCAAGACTTTCTTTCACCCCAACTTAGCACTATCCCCATGCCACTATAATCTGAGCCACATGTGGACAGCTGAGAGTCACTTCTGTGGTCATGCAAGCCACAGCTCTCTCTGCCCAGGGTTACTTTTCTAGTCACCACAATGTATGTGAGGTCAGGGGACTCCAAGGTGACTGTTATCCAGGAGTCAGGTGATTTCCACAGTGACAGGTGATGCTGACAGGTAGACACTTGTCTTGGTGTGTCTGACTAGACCCATTTCTCTTTACTGCATCTTGCTGTGAGTCTACATGACAAGCCTACTTTGGGACAAAGTTCATATTTAAGGATTGATCTCTGCAGTTGGTTCCTGGAGTTTGCTCTCTCCTTGACAGAAAGCCATTTGGGAGGTGTTGCCTGGCATCCCCAAGCTGAGGAACCTTGAATGCCCCCAGAAGTATAAATATGAAATCTGTCTTCTTCCAGACTGTTCACCTGATCAAGATGTTCTCAGGACTTCCTTTCATGACCATCAAAGTCACTCAGTGCAGTTAGGATGACATCCTCATTTATTCTAAGGATAAGCAAACTGTGGTATTCAAATTACTATTCCAAGGTTCAAATTCTTTCACATATTACTTTGAGAGTATCAAAGCAACTGCCTTACTTTGCAACAGATCCAAGGAGTTCAGGCTCCTGCCACCCATCCCTGCCATTATTAATGACTTCCTCTCAGCAACTGATTACCCCCAATCAGTTCCAATCACACAGGATTCTTCTGCCATACAGTCATCTGAAATTGACACGTGCAGCTTACCATACAGCATACAACAAGGCAGGGGTGAGGCAGGAAATTCTCCACTGGTTGGCTTACCTATGTCTGAAATCTTTATTTCTGACAGGAGATAGGAGAGCAGGGAATAGAAGAAAGAATGAGGTGTTAGCAGCAGGGTTAGAAGCATTATTAGCAGCCTGAAACTTGACAGCAATGGTACCATACAATACTATAATAAATAAAGACTTAGCAGCTATGACACTGATATATTTTATATGGGATATTACTTGTCAGTGAGTTCACTTACAAGCAGCTATATCACAGATGAGGCATAGTTTCACCTGCACCACTACTGCTGACTGGGAGAAGAGGACTAGGCTGACACATTCTGCTGCTTTAACAAGGGCTAAGCCAGAGACTGGAATAGTGGATTATCTTCTCTGTATAGACACATACCCAGAGATACATAGGCTTACTGCTCTGTGTGTCCATATGCACACTTTCCTACAAAGAGTTACCCAAACTTGGGTCGCTTCCCTGGAGCCTCCTCATAATAGGATACAGAATTGGAGATAGATTATAATTAGAAGGGAGGGTATGGCTCAGAAACAGGCCTAGAAAAAAAAGACTGGAAGAAAACATATCAAAATGATAATATACTTCTAAATTGATTTTTCTTTTCAAATTTCACTTACACCTCCCTGCCTTATCCACTGTCATGATCTCCCCAACAATTGTGGGAGGGAGGCAGGGAAAATGGGGACTGTTATTGGAAAGAGGTGAAAATGGAGGTCCAGGGAGGTTCAGTGATTTGTCCAAAGTTGTACAGCTTCTCTGCTGAGGTGGGCTGATTTCCTCGCGCATGGCGCTTCCTGTTGTGGTCCACATATGCAGCCAGCTGACACAAATATGCTGAAAGGATCCTTCTTCCTTGACAGATGGCTGTGTCAGACTCAGACAGAAGAAGGGCAGAAAATATTCCACTGGCGGTCCTCTTCTCATTCAGCCGATATCTTATTTCTTATGAGCCTACTGTGTGTGTGCTTGTCTGGTGCTGTGCATGGGGCCGATACTAACTCTTCTCTTTAGGGTTCATAGCTGTTGGCCCTGCCTTCATTTCACATGTGTGCTGCAGAGTGAGATTCTTGCAGCACGGCCTTCCCCTCCAGGGAGGAACTTAACAAGGCATTAAGTCAAAGTGGCCCTCATTGGGCTAGGTAACCAGTCTTTGGCGAGGCAGAAGTGTGTAATGATCTCTGGATTTGGGTCCACCAGTCTAGAAGCTGGACCTCAGGCAGGTTCTTTAAATACCCTAAGCCTCCATCTTCTCATTTACCAAAGGGGGATAATAATAAACACCTTACAGAATTGTTATGCTTGGCAATAGTAGGAGCCCAGCAAAAGTGAGTTTTCTTTTCCCTTGCCCACTGTGGAGGAAGGCTTTCCAGCTCCAGAGCCTGCCCTGCTCACATGGACCCTGGCCCAGAAGACAGGCAGATTCCATTCCCTAAAAGAATTGGGAGGGAGCCTGGTGCAATTCCTCCTGCAAGGAGTGTGAGGCTCCCTTATGTCTAAAGCACAGCTTTTCCATGACTCCAGAGCCCACCCTATGACAGTGCCTTGGTTCCAAAATGATCTAGGTTAGGGAGACACAGAGAAAAATCCAACATATCGGTTCTTTCCCTGAGCTATAAGTGTGGCTGTGGTTCATCACTCAGGGTCAGGATGGGGAAAGAGCCTGACTCAGCTGCTTCTGTAGTACCTGAGGAGCAGAGCAGCACTGCCTGGTTTTTGGCTTTGGGCCTTATCTCTATATTGGTCAGTTGAAGAAAACTACCCTTGGGCTCAAGGGATCCTCCTGCCACTACTTCCTGAGTAGCTGGGACTACAGGTGGGTGCCACCACACTCAGATAATTTTTAAAATTATTTTCTGTAGAGATGGGGTCTCACCAGGTTGCACAGGCTGATCTCAAACTCCTGGCCTCAAGTGATCCTTCTGCCTCAGCCTCCCAAAATGCTAGGATTACAGATATGAGCAATGGCACCTAGACCCTTGTTTGTATAAAAAAGATTCATGTGACTCATTCTAATCTCTTTATTTCTAGAAAACAGAAAGAAGATTCAATGGCGTCCGAGGAGTTTAATTTTGGGCTGCTAGCAGCCTTCTATGTCACAGATGTACCCTGGATGCCAGGGACATCTCCCTGTCCTTAGTGGCTTGTCTTCACCGCAGTGCACTGGGGAAGCAGCACCTGCTTGAGCCGGGAGGTGAAAAGCCCCAGAGTCTGACAGGTGAGGCTCTGTCCTGTCCCACTTCTCTGGGCTCTGTAGGTAATGCAGCGGGGCCCACAGGATGGCAAAGGGATGTGATTAGTAACTATGAAGAAAGCATCAACTTACATACCTCAACTCCAGGATGTTGGTGACATTTCCAGAGGGGAAGATCCTACGAATGTAGTTGAAATCACCCACATAGAGGCTCCCATCAGAGCCACAGGTGAGGGCCACTGGGGCCAGGAGCTTGTTGCCATCAGCAAGGCCATTGCAGCTGGGGCAGGAGATGCTTCTCCGGCGCCCATTGCCCATGATGCTTCCGATGACAGGCGGCTGCTGAGACACAAACTGGTTCTCCCCATTCCCTTTGTGCAGGATGCCTGGGACAAGGACAGAACAGAATTGCCTATGGAGCAGGAAATGGGTATATTTTCCTGCGGTTGGCCACAAAGTCACCCTGATTTTGCAAGGCACGTAAGATCTCCATCAACCATTTCCAGGCGCATAGCTCAAGGCTTTGCCTCGCCCCCCATAATGGAACCCAGAGTGTCCTAAACAAGTCATTCAGCTTTAATTCTCTCCACAGCTCTATAAGATAGGCACTACTATTATCCCTACTGTAAGAGGGGACTGTCCAGGTACCGTAAGCAACCTTACCCAAGGTCACACAGATGGTGAGTAGAAGAGCTCCAGAGTCTGGCACTTAGCCATTCAGCCACACTGCCTGCCTCTCAGGTAGGTTGTCCGTATCTCATGGACCCAGTCCATAGCTCTGTGACAGCATGAATTCTTTATCGCACTTACTTGTTTTTCTCTTTCTTTCTTTTTTTTTTTTTGAGACGGAGTTTCACTCATGTTACCCAGGCTGGAGTGCAATGGCGTGATCTCGGCTCACTGCAACCTCCGCCTCCTGGGTTCAGGCAATTCTCCTGCCTCAGCCTCCTGAGTAGCTGGGATTATAGGCACGCACCACCATGCCCAGCTAATTTTTTGTATTTTTAGTAGAGACGGGGTTTCACCATGTTGACCAGGATGGTCTCGATCTCTTGACCTCGTGATCCACCCGCCTCGGCCTCCCAAAGTGCTGGGATTACAGGCTTGAGCCACCGCGCCCGGCCTGTTTTTCTCTTTCAATTGGTACCAGTTCAAGTGTGGACTCTGTCTTTTTCCTTTCTGTATGTCCAGTGCTTAGCACAGAACTTGACACAGAGTAGATACCAATGAATGTTTATAGAAATGAATGAGTGAAACTCTTTTCACCAAGGGAAAAGAAGAGATGGGTTTTCAAGAAGAGATGGGTTTTTACCTGGCTTTGGTATTAACAGGCTGATCCCAGCTCCCATATAGGTCTCTTTACTTCTGTAACTACCCTTGGGCCTGCTTCACCCTCAACAAAATGAGGGCACTGACCTCAATGACTCAAAAGCTTCTTCCCATATCTAGCCTGTTTCTTTTTAGTCCGGATCCTCCATTTCTTCCTGCACACTTCATAGCCTCCAAACTGGATCCTCTGGCCCCTGTCTCACCTGTTCCATAATGAAGCTTGAGTGAGCTGTGCTCTTCCAGGTCACCAGAATCTTTTCCCAAACTGCTACCTGTTAGCTTGGTCAAAGCTGTCCTTTGTTCGATAGATATCTTTAATTTTTATGTATGCTAATCAATCATTTTTCTACTTTAGAGTTTGTGCTTTGTTAGGTTTTAGGAAAAGCTTTTCTGAGATTTTTACAGATATTCTACTAATTTCTTTCTTTCTTTTTTAAACTGAGATAGGGTTTCACTCTGTTGCCCAGGCTGGAGTGTAGTGGCACGTTCTCGGTTCACTGTAGCCTTGAACTCCTGGGCTCAAGTGATCCTCCCACCTCAGCCTCCTGAGTAGCTCAGACCACAAGTATGTGCCACCACACCCAGGTAATTTTTTTAAAAGATTTATTTTAGTAGAGATGGGGTCTCACTATGTTGCCCAGGTTGGTCTCAATCTCCTAGGCTCAATCCTCTTGCCTTGGCTTCCAAAAGTGCTGGGATTACAGGCGTGAGCCACAGTACCTGGCCTTTTAAATATTTTTCTTCTGTTAATTTTAAAGTGTTATCGTCCACATTTAGATGTTTAAGAAAAGTCTCTATTTTGTATAGAATGTGGAGGACTTAATTTGTCTCTACATATTGAGCCAATTTTCCCAATATTAAGTTCTAAAACACCCATCCATTCTCCACTGATATATATCTCTGTCATGTACCAAGTTCTTATATATGTGGCAAAAGCTCCTCCTTGCCCACTGACATCATCCTATGTCAAGACGTTGGGTGAGGCGCTCCTCTTCTGCCACGCTTTCCTTCTTTTGCAGTTATAGAACCCCTGCTATTTAACTGGGCATATGACTGCCTGGAACAGACCATGATCCCTGGCTCCATGGCAGCTACATCCACAACTAAGTTCTTGCAATGGCATATAAGTGGAAGTGATATGGGCAGCTGCTGAGAAGTATCCTTACAATGCAAGGGACTTGTTCTTTGTCCTTCACTTCCTGCTGGCTGGAAAGTGGATGTGAAGGCTGGGCCTGAAGTGATCGCCTTGGATCACGACTTTGGAGATGAAAGCCTGAGTGGAGCACAGAGAGAGGGGAGCCTGGGTCTCTGACACTGTAGCCCTGGATTCTCTACTTCCAGATTTGCAGAGTAAAAAGTGAGGTGAGTGAGAAGCAAACTTTAACTTTTTTCCAACTCTGTTATTTTGGCTTTTCTGAAACCCAAGGCCAAAACTAGTTTTAATTACTCTTCCCATGTCAGTTTCTGAATGCGCTCTATTGCATGGAATCAATTTATCTGTTTCTGTGCCAGCACCAAATAGTTTTAGATACTATGGTTTTTCTAACATAGCTTAATATCTGGTGAGTCCCTCTTTTTTGTTCTTGTTTTAAAGGCTGCATTAGCTATTTACAAATCTGTATTCTATCATAAATTTTAGAATTAGTTTGTCAGTTACCCCTCAACACATGCTGTGGCTTTGATGGGCATTTGCTGCCTTTTTAGATGAGGCAGGTGATAGCTGACATCATTACCATATTTAGTTGTCCCATCCTGGCTCATGGTCAGAGTCAGTCATCTATAATACAGATCTGATAGTACCACTCGCATGCTTTAGACCTTGTAGAGGCTTGACATTTGTTTTGGATGATGCTGAAAGTCCTAATCTTCATACTCTGGACTCTAGCTGCTCATATCCAAGCTTTGTCTTTCGCTGTTCCCTTCATGTTTTCCTCTACTTAAACCACAATGAACCTCTCTCTAGTAACTCTGCTTTTAGGCTTCAGTACTTTGACACATATTGTGCCCTCTGCCTAGAATGTTCTCCCTACTTGATGCACAGGGCTAATTCTATAGACCTTCTGAGACTCAGTTCAGGAATTCTTGCCAAAGGGAGACCTTTATGAACCAAGACCCTGGGTGAGGTGCTCCTCTTCTGCCTGTAAAGCACCTTGTGCCACCCTCTGTGATGTCAGGGCATATGGCACAACACTGAAACTACCTGGCGAGTATTTGTGTCTCACGGGCATAATAAAGTCTTGAGGCCTTTCCCATTTCCGCATCCCCAGTGCCTAGCATAGTGACAGCCTCAGAGGAGATATATAAGCAATATTTGTTGAATGAGCTCTCTGATCACATAGGAGCCTGTGGGATTCAAGTGTGAGTTTTTTGTTTGGCAGGGCACACGGGATATGAGACAAGATCCCACCCTAGCCTGGTTCAAGTAATTCTATGAAACCACTTACCACTTTGAATGTTGAGGGCATGATGCTTGTCTAGGCTCCATCCTCCAAGCTTGGATGCGTCAATTTCATAGCCCTGCAGCACTGCTGTTCTTTTTTCCCACAGGATCAGATCTGGACAGGATTCATATTCATAACCCACGGAAACTGTAGGTGACAAAAGAGGCAAAAAGCATAAGTGAGCAAAGTCTACTCTTTGGCCTTTAGAACTGTAGGGAAGGTCCCTGGCTTATCTTTTGTAGAAGAGGAAAAAAGGATCATATTTCTAAGTGGCAACCAGAACTATGTGAAATAGTTGCTAAGTCTTAATAGTTCTTTATTTCTTTTAGAGAGCAATTTTACGTTTGGTGAAAAGTTAAAACAAATATATCAATGACTTTAAAAGGATCTAGGTGAATCCCTTCCAGGGAAATAATCTTTAGTATGTGATAGGGTTTGGATCTATGTTCCCCAGCCAAATCTCATGTTGGATTGTAATCCCCAGTGTTGGAGGTGGGGCCTGGTGGGAGGTGACTGCATCATGTGCTGGATTCTCATGAATGGTTTCACACCATCCTCTTGATGCTGTTGTCAAGATGGTGAGTGAGTTCTCACGAGATTTGGTTGTTTAAAAGTATGTAGCACCTCCTCCCACCACCCCAGGTCCTGCTCCTGCCATGGAAGATGACTGCTCCCTCTTTGCCTTCTGCCATGAGAAAAAGCTCCCTGAGGCCTCCCAAGAAGCAGTTGCTGCCAGGCTTCTTGTACAGCCTGCAGAACCATGAACCAATTAAACCTCTTTTCTTAGACATTGCCCAGTCTCAAGTATTGATAACAATATGAGAACAGATGAATATAGTATGGAAAATATTTGTGCACAAAAGCCTTCACTGCAGCATTATTTATAATATTGGAAACTTAGAAGTCATCTGAAGGTTCAAGAGGGGTGAGGAGGTGAGCAAATCCAAGTGCATCCACTCTAGGAGTACTATGAAGCCACTGTGAGTTACAGTGAAGAAGATTACATGGGACAAGGGAAATGCTTATGGAGTAGTGCTTGGTCAAAAAGACTGGTTGCACATGGTAATCTGCATTAAAGTAAATTACACATGAAGAAAGAAAACTAGTTGTATTTGTTTACAGGATCACATATAACTTTTTTCTATTTTTGTCCATTTTTCAAATTTTTATTAATGACTATGGTGGTTTTTTACTTAAAAAAATAAGATCATTTATAATGAATATAGAAATGGAACTTAGTTGGGGTACTTTCAAAGTTGGAAGTTGCTTTGGGGTTTCAAAGCTTGGAGATCCCCTGGATTTACTTTGTTTACTTTGTTTGGGATAAAGGCTAAACATGGCAGCCTCCCTGCCTCTGGCTGTGTAAAAAGTCCTGTAACTGGACAATGGAAAGGAACCAGCAGAGACAGGAATGCTCTTTCTTCCAAGCATCCTCCTGGGCAGGCACTATTTTCCAGTGGGCAATATCCTACTACACGTTCAAGACAGGAGTTAACAACTGAGCAGCTCCTTGAAGTTTCTTGTAGATGCTATAAAAGATTGCTGACCATTTATGGCAAAAGGGGAATGGGCAGGAAGATGTCCCTGTGATCCTTTCCCCCATGGCCTTGAGTCCCTTAAGCAGCCACTGTGCCTCCTACTGGTCACTTGTGATCTCAGGAAAGTGGCCCCAATCCAGTCACCTCCCTTCTTAGCTGACCGGTGGGCACTAGAAGTGCTCATTTTACCTGAAGAGGTTATAAGGCCTCATTTTAAAAAAGGTGACAGAAGTGGCTTGATGTACAGTAGGGATCATGAACAGTGAGAGATTGCACCTTTGCTCCCACTGTGTCCTTGTGAGGTAGGATGAGATGCAAATCCATAGGAAAGGTCTGGGATAAATCCAGCTCTGTTCCTTCCTAGCTGAGAAGTCATCTTACTTCTCTGGGCCTCAGTTTCTTCATGCAGAATTTAGGGGTGACGATTTTTGACTCACAGAGTATAAGGTTTAACTGAGATACTAATGCACAGGGGAGCATATTGCCCACGGCAGGTGCTCAAGCAACCTTCTCTTATTTCCTTCCCACCTCCGTCCTCTTCTTTCTTCCCCTTCTTTCCCTCTCTCCCTTCAGTGCTTCTCCTTACTCCCTCCCTTCCCTCTTCCCTGCACCTTTCCCCCTTCTCTTCCCCTTCCTTCCTTCTCTTCCTCCCGCACTTCCTTCCTTTCTAAATAACATTATTTCTCTGTTTCCTCATTCTGCCTTTGCTGAATCTCTGCTTTTGCTGAACCTAAGGGAATGAAATTTGAGTGGAGTTCAAGACGAGAAGGGATTTGCTGGGTGGTTACTCTTAAGTGCTTGGTAGATCAGCTCTGCAGGGTTAGGCCTGCTAAGAGTCCAGCTCTGAGCCCTTCCTGGGACCTCCTCTAATCTGGAAGCAGAAATGCATCCAGCCAGCCCCTGGGAGCCCAAGGGCCAAGTGAGGCTGGGACTCCAGGTGAGGCTATAGCCAACTTCTGTTTCATCTTACAAAGACACAGCAATAGCAATAACAAAGAAATGACGTCTCTGACTGGGTAAAGAGGCCCAAAAGCATTTCTGATGAAGAAAGAATCTTAGTTCCTGCAGCTCAAATAAATAAATAAATAAATAAATAAATCATTTTTCTTTTCAGCTCTCCTATTTTAATGGGTAAGTTCCTGCAGGATGGCTGTGGGGTGGCCAGCGAGTGTCCACCTGACCCTGCCTTTGTGGCACACGACCTCTTACTTAGTCCCTCACAAGACACCATGGTGCTTTTCCAGAGCTGTTTGGTTCTGTAGCCCTATTGTAATTGTTGGATTTTCTACATTCAAATCTTTCAGTACATTTTTTTAGGTCCTGGACAGTCATGCAGAGGTCTTAAAAGTCAATTAAGCCTTAGGTATTTGTGATCTGAGAAGAGGAAGGAAGGAAGAAGAAACCAGGGAGGTAGAGGTGCTATTCTCTGAGTCCTGTAGCCAGGAGGCTTACCGAAGGCTTCTGAGAGCCCAAACACCTTCTGGTTGTAGACGTCTGTCTTGTCCCAAATGAAATAATGGGACAGGTCTGGGGCTGCGGCAAACCACTTCCTGAAGAGGCGACCCTCCACTGCTACCATGAGGTGCACCTTCATGAGGTTGAAGGGGATGGTCGGGTGGGTGAGGCTGATCCTCAGGACAGATTTGTAGCCAGGGGTCCGGCTGCTCAGGTAGCTCAGCCTCATCTTGCAGCCAGAGATAGAGATTTCCTCCTGCAAAGCCTACAAAGCAGAAGCAGATCACAGCAAGGGATGGTCACTGACTCACCCGGTGGAGGGAAGATGGTGAGGCCCCATGTTCTCTGGGTGTTCAGGTGGTAAAAGGAAAAGCAGAAGGGGGAGGGAAGAGGAAACAGTGGAAAGAAGGCAGGAAGCAGAGGGTGAAGAGAAGCAGGAGGAGGAGGGGAAAAGCATGAATGAGATGGGAGAAAGAATTGAGGAAGAGTATAACATGTCAGAGGACCTGGTTTCTGAGGCCAGCTGTCATGTGGGGACCCCGCAGAAGTCACCTCACCTCGCTGAGCCTCAGCCTCCTGCTCTGTACAACAGGGATGACAGCACTCATTTCATTGCAGTTTTGAGGGAACACATAGGATAATGCATATAAAATACTTAGGTCACATTGCCACTGGTTCACGAGCTGTGTTATCCTAGAAAGCTCATAGAACATCTGAATCTCAGTCTCCTCTCTGGCTTTGTGTGAGGACTGAGTAAGGTCACACAGGTAAAGTGCTTAGCACAGAAACGTTGTCAGGTGGCATGCAGTGCTGCTGCTGCTGCTGCTGGTGGTGCTGGCAGCATGGGTGCCATGAAGAGAGACTGTTGCAGCCGGCTGCCTAAGCAGGAAGGATGGCTTCTCTCTCAGAACTTTCCTCAAATGAGATCTGTTCCAAATGGCTTTCCTTTTCAGGAAATTAAACAGAGACTACAAGATGTTTACCAAACAAATAAATATGCACATTTGAGACCACAGCCTGGCAGGGACCTGTGGTTACCCACAGAAAGGATGAACTTGCTGCCTGGAGCTTCTGGCCACTCTGAGCCCCAGCTCCAGTGCCAAATGGACAGTGTGGGGAAGGCTGTGACCTAGTGAAGGCTCAGGTCAATTAGCTACTGGGTGCGATGGGCCCAGTTCTAAGTTGGAAAGTTTAAACGAATGCCAGCGTGCTCAGGCACACGGCAAAAGCAGAGAACTTTATCAGCTTGATGCTCTGAGCTCTGTTTCAAGAAAGGGGCATTAAATCAATTGAGGCTAACATATCTATTCAAGGGACAATGGCTATTCTACCCTATGTTTACAGTGGATCTGTGCCTTTTTCATCCTGTCCATTTCACAGACAAGTGTGAATGCTTACCTCCACCCCATTCTCCTGAACACAGGAAGCTTTAGGGATTTAGCTTAAACCAAGGCAATCTTCCTAAACTACAGCTTACAAGTTCGAGGCAAAGCAGGACTTATACTCGGTAAGCCCTGGGCATGACTGATGTGCCATCCTGATGCTCTCAAAAATATTTACCTTCTTTAATGTACTCTTTAAAATTCACATCTCCCAGCACTTGCAAAGGCTGGGAGAGGACTGGGAGAATTCAAGAGTTTGTTTATGTGTATTTCGTGAATCTGATAATAAGCAAGGTTTTTGCCCTAACTGTATGTGCAGGCACCCAGCTCAGGGAACACTGTAAAGAGGGTGTGACCTTCAACCCCATTTGTTCCAGAGTCCCTGCTCCTGGGAAAAATGTCTAGCTGGAGCGGGGCCTGAGCTGAGCAACAAATTACTTATCTCCAGCAAGCTCTGTCTCCACTGACAACCATTTCATAACAAAGGTCGGCCTGGTAGTTGAGACGGGAGACAGGCACTGAATCTGAAAAGGAGGTTTCAACTTGTGAGTGCAATGAAAATTTCAAAATGATTGTATGTCCTTCTTGTTGGCTGGCATCGAAAGCCACTCAATAGGGTATGCACAGAAAGGTGTTTCCTCAGCCAGGCATGAAACACACACACAAAAATGTATAAACTCCCTGCTGCACCGGCGCCCAAAATCCATTACAGGTACATCACGTGAGTTCTCATTAGGCAGGAGAGACAACCGGGACTTCTCCTGGGCTTCTGCACTGACATCTCTCCTCTTCCTCAGGCCCTTGCTTCTGCCATTAGAAACTGGGCTGGGGACAGCGGAGGAAATTCAACTGGCAGAGCTTTGTTAGGGGAAAACATCTATCTTGATTTCCATCAGATTAAAATGCATCGTTCCAATTAGTTTCTTTTAATGATAATTAAGGAAAGCAGTTGTATGTATAGATTTGAGCCAAGGCAATCCTTAATCGGCACAGAGGCAGTGTGTGTTAAATAATCTTAATAATAATAGCTAAAATTTATTGAGCACTTATTAGGTGACAGACATTGTGCTAGGCACCTCACACACATTTTTCTCATTTAATCTTTATTATAATTCTCACTATTCAGGATCCTTTGTCTCACTCCTCTTGGTAGAACCAGTTATTTTAAATATTTTTAACAGAAATAATGAGAGAGGGACACAGGAGGCTGGGGAAAAGGAAAGTAGGCGGAAGTGAGCTAACCAGCAGAGTGGAAAGGCTGAGATTTTAGTATAAACCAGAGTGTGCCAGGCAGTTCCAGGGGCTCATGTGTTTTCCGTGTGTAAGAGGGGTGCCCCTCACCCCCTCATGACATGCCCATTGTGGGATTTGGTGGCTGGATTTTGTATAATAGACTGATGGGACCTGACCCAAGCCCCACAGAGGTGTTTTCTCTCTTTCCACTGTCTCTGAGATCCTCCTCCATCCCCAAAATGAAATAAAAGCATGGTGGAATGCAGTTAGGAAAGCTGGGTACCTGAATTTCTGGCACGATGGGGCCTTTCTCTGCACAGGAGCTGGCGAAGGACGTCAGTGGGGATGGAGAGACGACGGGATTGGGCCGGGCAAAATTGCTCAGGTCACAGCTGGGAATCTCATTTTCCTCATGTCTCATGATGATGGTTTCCATGACAAAGAAGCGATCCCAAGGCAGCCAGAGGGTGTGCTCCTGTGTGATGAAAGGTGCCCGCTCGAACCGCAGGATGATGGAGATGCCGCCATTTGTGACCAAGTCAAAGCTGTTTCGAAGGGGAAGGTTGAGAAGGGGTGGAGAGCAGGAAGAGCAGGAACCAGGATGAGAAAGAGAAGAAAGAGACCAAGAAAGGAGAGAAAATTACACCAAAGGGTCAGAGCATTTCTTGAGGCAGGCTCTAATGTCTAAAGATTTGACTGTAGCTCCAAACAATGGCAGTGATTTTAGAAAGCAGTTTTCTTTTCCCCATAAAATGATTCACATAGAGAATCTGCTGAAATGAACTGCTATTATGGAGAGCCATTTTCCAGGACACACAAGAGCTCACAGTGGTGTTGCTGGTACTCAGGGCCTTTCAACTGTGTCAGAGCTGAAGCCCAGTGAAAAGTCAGGGAATAAAGCAGAGTAAGCCTTGATCTGGGTGTTAGGAACCCCAAACCTGGTCCTGGCTCTGCCTTCAACTTACTGTGTGATCTTGGGTAAGTCACTTAGCCTCTTTAATCCCCCCCCCCTTTTTTTTTTCATCTGTGAAATGCAAAGGCTCAAATGGATTATTCTTAAGTCTCTAAGATTCTATGACTCCACAGCAATTTCAGCTCTAATTGTGATAGATTACTCAACAAAGACCTTTGCAATGACAAAATAGCTAAGCAGTTTAAAGATGGCTCAGTTAGAATCACAGTATCTTGTAAGTGAAAGAGGAGCCAGAAGACTGAGCACCAGCCTCCTAGTTGAGATGAGATCACTGTGACAGCGTCTGGAGAGCTGGCAGCCCAGCCTCTGTTCGTCAGCCTCTGAGGATGATGCGGAGATCTGAGCAGAAACCTGTCTTCCTATTCCTAGTTCTGTCTTCAATGTGACACCAAACAGACCTGTTCCGTGATGGTCTCCAGGCCTTCCCTGATCCCAGATGACGCCCTTCAAAGCCTTTGTTTCAGGCTTGTGGGGACTGTACAGGCAGAGTCTTCCTTGCCTCATCCCAAAATATCTCGTGCCCAAAAGGGACCCAGCTGAAACATACTGGCAGCTCTGTTTGGTGCTGGCATCGTAACTCCCATCACCTGCAGACAAACCTAGCAAGGCACTTTCCCATTCAAGCCTTGGCATGCACTTTTACTTTCTGAACACCGAAGAAAATTGAGTTTCTTCCTATTTGTACACCCAATGTTTCTGACACTGCCCAGCCCCACAGGGAACCTGATTTGAGGGTTCTGCAGCCACATGCTTAGATGCCAGATGGACTCAGATTATAGACAATGGGAAAAGAAGGCCATGTGCGAACCAAAGTATATCACTAATCCTGTAGGCTGGGTCTGCTGAGCTAAGGAGAAGGCATGGCTTGGCTGCTACTTATAGCCCCATGTTCATCATGCAATAAGACATAAGACCAGGCTTGGGTGCAGTGGCTCACGCCTGTAATCCAGCACTTTGAGAGGCTGAGGCGGGCAGATCACCTGCGCTCAGGAGTTCGAGACCAGCCTAGTCAACATGGTGAAACCCCGTCTCTACTAAGAATACAAAAACTAACTGGGAGTCGTGGTGGGTGCCTATAATCCCAGCTACTTGGGAGGCTGAGGCAGGACAATGGCTTGACCCTGGGAGTCAGAGGTTGCAGTGAGCTCAGATTGTACACTCCAAACTGGGTGATGGAGCAAAACTTTGTCTAAAAAAAAAAAAACAAAAACGATATGAGTAGAATTGTGTGTTCTCTTCTTAAAAACAGAAAGTTTAAAATCAAGTAATAGCTGAACCACTGGAGGAGAACTTGGCGGTCATCTGACCTAGCCCCTCTCCCATCTGATGCATCAGTTCCTTCTAAGGAACCACCATCAAGGGCCCATTCAGTTCCTTCTTACACAATTCCAGAGATGAGGGGACCGCTATACCCACAGGAGGACTGTTCTGTTTTAGGTTAGTTCTGACCGTTAGAACTTTTTTTTTTTTTTGGAAACTGAATGTGGGTCCCTCTCTTTCCAGCTTCTTATTCACTGCGCCTGATTCTATCTGCTGGGGTGACTTCAAACTTATGTGTTCTTTCTGTCACAACCAAGCTGTAGTAGGCATTTTCCAGGGCTGTCTTAATTGGCTTTTTTTGGATGGAGAACTCTGGACAGCTTGAACTTCACCTCCTCCACACAGCCTTACCCAGTCAGAATCCTAGCTTCCTCCCTGGGTTCCACTGCCCACATGCACTCCTTCACAAAGTCCACATGGCATTGCACTGTAACTGCTTGTTGAGCTCTCTGCCACAGGGACATTAAGTCCCCTGCCTTTTCAGAAGCCAGCCCAGTGCTTGATGGTTAAAAGTTGATGGGATAAATGCAAGAGTGACACCATCAACTACTCCTAAACTGACAGTCTACTAAACACCCTATGTCCCTTCTTATTTGGCCATTACTGAAGTTAAATCTAAGGTTCAGCTGTGTAGTTGGTGTGAGCGACCTAACGCAGGATGTCCTTTTGACCCTGATACATCCAGCATGTGAGAATGGGCCCATTGCTCTAGCTTGCTCTTTGCTCCTCCAGAGACTGCAAGGATTCTGCATGGAACCATCCTGTCCTACTGCCAAGTTCTGCTCTTGGTAGATGGCATGCCCAGATTCGGGGCTCCAGGCTCCAAAGCCTGACTCTTCCACCCTTTACAGGAGCTGTCACTCCTTTGCCTGTTCCTCACTCACTCAGGGGAAGAAAGGTGGGCATCACCATTGTTCAATGATAGAGAAACACCCGGGGTGGTGTTTATTTTGAATCAAGAATTCAGGTTTTGGCTCTCTAAGAGAATACCCATGGTTTTGGGGAAATACTCAAAGAACAATTTTTCTGTCACAGAACTGAATTGCATCTGTGCCTTGATAAAACATTTTTAACTGTCAAAAAGAATTTTAGCCAGACTTATAAGCTCCCTTTGTGAGAGGTTGTATGTGAGGATGGAGGAAAGACAAACACAAAAAGACATATTCTCAAGGCAGTGAGCAAGCTGGGGGCAGCTAGCCTTGCCAAACGTGTAGGTAGTGGGCTGGGGCTAGGTCTGTTCCTCTGCGAGGGGAAACTCTGCTTTAAATATGAATGTGAATGTTACCCCACAAGAAAGGACTGGTTCTCAGATGAAGCCCAAACAGTGCAGGGCCATTCTGGACACTGTTACTTGCTCCATGGGCGACTTACGTCACCTTTCCAAGCCTCAGTTTTCTCATCTGTAAAATGAAGCTGATGATCATAATCATTTGGCAGTGTTACTGATTCTACAGATGGGATAATAGATGGGAAAAGCACAGGGCCTCACACATTCCCTTGGCTTTTTCTTTCTTTCCTCCTCTCCTTTTTCCTTTTCCCTTCCCTTTCTTCCTTTTCCCCTTTCTCCCTTTCCCCCTTTCTCCCTTTCCCCCCTTTTCCCTCTCTTTCTTTCTCTCCCTCTGTTTCTCTTTTTTTCTTTTTTTGAGAGGGTTTCACTGTCACCCAGGCTGGGGTGCAGGAGTATAGTGGGGCAATCATGGCTCACTGAAGCCTAGAACTCTCTGGGCTCGAGCAATCCTCCTGCCTCAGCCTCCTGGGTTGCTAGGACTACAGGTGCATGTCACTATACCCGCCTAATTTTTGTATATTTTTTTGGTGGAGACAAGGTTTTGCCGTGTTGCCCAGGCTGGTCTTGAACTCCTGTGCTCAAGTGATCCTCCCACCTTGGCTTCCCAAAGTGCTGGGATTACAGATGTGAGACACCACACCTGGCCCCTAATTTTCAATTCAGTGAGCCTAATCTGCTTCTCTTGCCTGCTATTCTTTTAGTTTTTCCTCATGACCTCTATTTTCCATCTTTTTAATGATCTCTTTGGCTAACTTCTCTGCTACTCTTTTCTGTTTGTAAGCTCCTGTTAAGGCATGAAGTCTGAAATTTCAGCAAGACTGTGTGTGTCAGTGTGTGCGTGCGCATGTGCTTGCGTGTGTGTATAGGGGTTGGGGGAGCTGGATGTGGGCAAGTATCATGGTGCCTTCCTGGAAAGTGAAGAATACATGCTCCCTGGACTTTCAGTCCACTTGCGCACACTATTATTTCCAGACTATATCTCCTAGTCTTAAGGTATGACAGATAAGAAAGAAGGTGAGTTAAGGAAGGGTGGGAGGGGAGTGATACCTGTTCACGTATAACAAAGATTTTTGGACACTAAGAGAACAGTGATAACTTTCCCACACATTATGCAGTGGCTGAGTTAGGAAGAAAATGTCAGCCCCACAATGCATTGGTAAGAACTGATCTGAAACTCAAGCTCTGTTGCAGCAATTCTGGCTACTGTGATGTAATTTAGGAGGCTGATGCAGGAAACAGCTGATTATTTAGCTCCACGCTCTCAATGGGCAGTAGAAATTGTAGAGGAAGCACAAACAAGAAAAATTGGGAGGTGTCAGAGAGTGAACTTTCCCCAAAGGCCACTGAACTTATGCCACACTCTGTGTTTTTTGAATCTACTGTAACCAACCACAACACAGCATAAGGACTGACGATTTGCCATCTCACAGAAGTGACTGGCAAGTTCCATGGCAAAAAAAAAAAAGGCAGTCCCTAGAGGCTCCTTTTGGATGAATGTTTCATAGCAGGTAATAATGTGGTCCAAATACCTGTTGCCTAGGAGGCTCACATCTGCCATTTTCATACAGCAGGCAGCATCCTTCAGGCTGTAGTGGGGAGTCTTCATGAGGGCCTTCCTGGGTTGGAAGGTGTACAGGGTAGGGAACAGTGGCCTGGCCTGGCCAGTTTATCACTGCGGACTGGCCACCAACCTCTTCCAGCTGGGCCTCTTCCTATTCATACTGAGTGAGAGGTGGGGAGGGGGCACCCCATGCCAAGCTTGCCAACCCCATCTAAGAGACACACATGTCTATAAGCAGATGAGCCTCTACTTCATTATCACCTCGGCCGGGACATGTTCACATCTGATATTGGATTAAAGAGGTGCTAAAATCAATCAAGTTGGAGCATAATTTCCAACACAGAGTGAAAATCAACCTTATGGGCCCACGCTCAGCCAGATGGACTGCCACCACCTGGTTTTATTAAAAATAGAGGACTTGTCACCACTGACAGCCTAAATATTCCATTTTCCTCCTTTTCTTTCCCTTTTCTCCAAAATATTCTCATTGCCTGCCCTGTCACCATCACCTTCTCAGTCAATAATTTGTAATTTTAACAAATAGCTGTTATTTATTGTATGCTTATTATGTGCCAGACACTGGAAATATGGCAATGAATAAAAGTGGGGGTAGGGAACTAAGATTTATTAAACACATACTATGTGCCAGGTGCTTCCCCATCCACACATCATCTAACCCTCAAAACCAATCTGTGAGATAAACAGCATTAGGACCATTTAACAGATGAAGCTGAGACACAGAGAGGTAAGGAGAGTTATCCTAGGACACACAGCAGGTAGGAAAGCTAGGGCTATAAAGGAAGCTTTACTTCATTCTGCTGATGGTTCCTGGAGGAATTCAAAGGTCACAATTCTGTCATCACCCAAATGGCTTGCACAGATCTAAGCAGCTGCAGGATGGAAACCACACAAAAGGAATGGCTGAGATTTCTCAAGCTGTCTGTTCTGTAGAAAGTGGTTCACAAGACAGTGTTTTATATCATGAGTCATGGAGCAGGATGATATGTATAAGGTACCCTCTCCTTACTCTGAGAACCAAATGAGAAGAAAATGTTAAATCTATAGTCAAAGGGACATAGGCCAGAGTCAGGTACAAGGTCATACAATTAGTAATTTGCAGGGCTGGGCATGTGAATTCAGGGCCTCTGAACCCAAGTCCCATCCTCTTCCCACTCTATTAGTCCAGCAGCAGCTATATGATAAGACCACAAGAGCAGGACCTTCACTCTTTCTGGCTCATAGAAGGTTTCCTACCTGCCATCTTGCCTGCTGACTGTATATCCAAAGAGAGGGTTATTGACAAAACTGATGTTCACACCAACCAAGGGGGTTCCATCTGATGTCATCACTTGACCACGGATAACACAAGCATGCCTGTGGGAAGAGAAGAGAGAAGAAACATGATATACCTTTCACGATCACATCCCTGGCTGGCAGGGAACCCTGAGAGGCCAGAAGACAGAAAATCAGTCACGCAGACACATCTTGTACCCAGGGACTCATGGTATTCACTCAAGATACATAATCATCTTTAAAAAAATATCACCTCAATTTAAGGCATCAAAGTGTCCTTGAGATGATTGCTATTGGGAGGTGTTTGTAATGATCTCACTTGCAGGTTATTTTCTAGTGATATTATATTATGCTGTATGGAGATAAAGCTGATTGCAGAGGACAATATCGCCTAGTTCTGTGTGTGGATGTGGGGTTCAATGATCTGGGTTCAAATCCTGGCTCTGTCACTTCCTAGCTCTCTGAACTTCAGTAGGCATGTGACAGTTCTTTGAGTCTTTGTTTCTGCATGCTGGCATAGGGCAAACTCCACAAATGGCAATGGCTATTACTGTCACTAACAGTCTTATTAGAAGTGAACGTACAAAAAAGTGAGCATGACAGAAGATAGTTCCTTTCATCTGACATTCAAGACGGGAGAATGCTAGCATGCTCTTGGAGTGAGTTTTGGAATCTGACACCTCTCTAATATCCCTCCTTCAACCTTACTCTATATTTTAGACAAGAAATTACCTGCTTTTCCCAAACTTGCCAGGTGAATGTTGCTTACTGCCTCTGTGCCTGTGCAATGTTCTTCTATCTGCCTAAAATGTCTTTCCTGTACCCCTCTCCCAACATTCTCACCCCTAAAGACCCAACTATTAGTGACACCTCTTCCTTGAAGCCTTTCTTGATGGCCCTAATCAGAACTAGGTCCTCTCTCCCACAAAACCTGATGCAGACACCTTGATAACACTACAAAACCATACACGTTCCTCCCTTCCACTAGATCCTGAGCTCTTTGAGGGCAGGGACAAGGTTTCTTTCTTTCTCCCCACAGTGCCTGAACTATGCCTAACAAATCCTAGGTTGCCATTAAAAAACATGGTGGTTAAGCAAATACATGGGACCATTAGAGATCATCTACAATGATGTCTTTTCAAATATTTCAGAAACAGAAATGTTTGGGTAGACGACATTTTATAAGGACTGCAAAGCGGAAAACAAATGAAAATATCTGCCCTGGACGAAGCTGGGGTGGAGGCTTCCTCTCCCTCGGGGTGATTCTGAAGGCAACTCTGTGGAGTCTGTGTGTCTGGAGAAGTCTGTTGTAAGATCCCTGAGTTAGTGGAACTTTCTCATTGTATAGAAGAGGAGACTGGGTTCCAGAGAGGTTATATTATGTATCCAAAGCTCCACAGAAAGGGGGTGACGGATCCAGGACTTGAATCTGGGACTCACCACTCTGGGCCCCACTCTAACCAGTCACTTGCCACTGGCCATGGGTGGAAATGAAGACGCTGGCTGGTCCGACGTCCTCAGGGGTCTGCACACTGAGGAGAAAGCCCTCGCTGAAAGACATCTGAGGCAAAAATGCAGTTGCTGCGTATCACATAACCTTCTCTGTTCACCTCAGTTGAGAAGTCTTTTTCTTCTGGCCTACGGAAGAGCTACCGACGAGGCCCAAGGGCATTTATTTAAGAAAGACCTCAAATTCAGTCCCTGCCGTGTATGAGGTACCCACACCTCTACCTTCCTAGAGTGATAAACTTTTCTCTGTTGGATGAGAAAAGCAATTAACACCAGGCTTGTAAAGCAGCTGGTCTCACTAGTGTCAGCTTGTCCTTTCTGAAGGCAAGAACAACTACCCACAATGCACCAGACTCCCCACCCCATCCCACCCTCCTCACCTCACTCCACACAATCTGGTTAATGCTAATTCAGTCAGTGGTTTCCTTCCCAGGCCCTTGGTCTAAATGCAATTACACCACAAACAAGTTAAGCGGGTGAGGCTCAGCAAAGACTTTCAGTTCTGCTCTGAAGGTCTTCCAATGTATTTACGTGAAATTATCTCTCCGCTAATGGGTAAGATTTATTCCACCGATTGTATTCAGCTGGTTCTGAGAGATGTTTTCCTTAATAGAGGACAATTGAATTTTGTATTGCTGGAACTCTGTCCTTCCAGAGAATTACTAACAGATCCCATCTTCTGATGCTGGCCACCATCCAGCCTTCTCCTGATACATGTGTCTCTGGATTCTGCTTGGACAGTAACCAGCCCTGGGGGGATGGCTTCCTTTCTGGGGCTATCCTGGCTGCTGCCCCTCAGACACATGCATGCCAGCCTCCTCTGATTAATCTCTCTTTGGGGATTTGCTGGTACTTGGGAAACACTGAATCGGCACCATTTGCCTATCATGTAGCCTCCAACTCAGCAAGCCAGAGCAGATCCAAGTTTAGCCTGGGCTCCTGTGGATTGCTTTTGGATTCTGGGGAAGATTAGGTTGACTCCTTGTATGCCGATAGGCCACAGAAGCCTCTTGCCAACACAGGCATTTGGCTCAGGAATTAAGTCCTGGAGAAAAACATTTCCATCCCTGCTGTTTTCATGATTTTCAGTTGACAGGAAAGCCCAGTTTAATATAAAGCCTTCCCTGGAACAAAGAAGATGGAAAGTCAGCTCAGTGGGGGCCTTTGAATTGTGTCTTGTGCCACATCCATTTGTCCTGGGAGGTTTGAAAAGATGTGAGTGCTGGGCTTCCTAATGATTGCTTTCTGCATCCATTTATTTAATGGATATTATCAGTGGTGTGCTGGCAAATGCTTAATGACCGACTTCGAAAAAAAAAAAAAAAAAAAAAAAAAAAAAAAAAAAAAAGAAAAGAAAAGAAAACCAGCCTTAATTTGTAGCATTTGCTCATTTCTGTGGTGTAAATACTCTCATCATGGCTGTTTTCAAGCTACCAACGAGATGCCACTGAACAGAGTTGGGAAGAGACGCACAGGAGGATGCCATCATATGACACTGCCACCATGGAGACCCAATGGTCCTGAGTAACCTCAAGGGCAAATGTAACATCAAACATGGCAAAACAATTAGAAAGTCATAAGTTTTGAATATTTATTACCTTTGTTTTTAATATATCTTATTTAATTTTATATAATTTAATTTTTAATAGTGGCTTAATAGTGTTTAACAACCAGCTTGCAGAATTTTTGAACATTTAATAATCAGTTCTTGCAAACTGGTCCAAGCTGGCTTCTGCATACCACTGGAACACTGACCCTACACTGAGGGTTTGGCACTTGCTCAGTGCTGGAGATGTGGCTAAGAAATAGCTGCTGCTTTGAATGTAGAACTCTGCAATGGAAGACTGCCTTGGTGGAAAACCATTAATGTGGGAGCAAATCATTGTCACCAGCTTGGCCTCCCAGCTAGCTCATATGAACCTCTATCACTAGTCCTCTATTTGACATGATTTGCTTCCTCTTGGTCGCTGTTTTTGTGTAACGGAGTTTTGGGCTGTTATTTTCTACTCATCCTTAGAGTCTCATCTAAGCTGTCATCACCTCAGTGAGGTTATCACCAACTTTTCCTGACACAATGCATCACCCCTTCCTCTGGGCTTTTATACACCTTATAAGTATCTTGCTAATGCTTGACGGTCATGTGTTTATATCATTCGCATTTATATAGCCATCTCACATGTTTACATGTGAGCCAGAGCAGGGCTGGACCACATGTCCAGAGAGGGTAAGCATGGGATGCTGCTCTCAGAGTGTTTGGTAAATGAAAAACAATCAAGTAACTGAAAGAGAGAAAACAAATTGCTCAAGGTCACCCAGAAAAGAATTCACTTGGCTGAGCTGACATTAAAGCTAGGTCTTCTCACTTCTGAGGCCTTACTCTTACTACTGTGTTATGTACCTGCAGTCACTAAAATTCCTTTAATTTCACAAAAAACCAGGCACCTACTAGGAGCCAGGCTCTGTGTTAGGTGCTGAGTTCCAGAAATGTATGAATTACAGTTTCCACTTACTTGCTAGAGCTCCCAAAAGCCAACGTGAAATGCCCCCGTGTAGTTGTCTCTGACACCAGTGAGTCAACACATGGGTTTGGCATATGTCAGGCAGCTGGGATATAAAACAAGCAATTAGGCTAGGTGAACTCTGCCAGGAGGGAGCGCTTGTGCCAAGCCAAGGGTGGTGTTGAACATACTGGCATGAGTCTAACCACACACTCGGGGCCTGACTGAGGTGCCCTTGCTGATGCCAACAAGGGAGAAGATCTGCCTGACTGCTTCCTGAGGAGAGTGACGAGGTTTGGGATCAGCAGAAGAATCTGCTGGAGAGATAAAACCACTCCAAAATAAAATCAGGCAAATAAAAAGCCACCCTCAACTGTCGCTCATGGAAGTGTGGTAGGGCTCTGGTGGCGACAGTACTGGGCTGGGGGTCACAGTTCCCAGTTCTGACTCTGGGAACTAACTGTATGCTTTTGGAGTCATCTGACCTCTCTGAACCTCCCTTCTCCCATCTGTCAAATGCAGGCTGAAGTTTTTCACAATCTGGTATAAAATAGAATCCATCATACGTTTAAGAATTTATAACTGTTTTAATCTTTTACTACCCAATCCAACTAAAGCAGCCCAACTACACATGGCTTCAGAATCTTAATGGGGCTCATGCAATACTTATTACTAAATTGTTCCCTCTCTCTGGAAACTTCCACCTCTCCAAGAGCATTCACCAAGCAGTATACGCTACTCCTGCTCCTTCTCAGCTACTCCTCATGAACCCTGAATGCTGTTGCTCTGCCAGGACAATCTTATCCTCAGCAGAACGTGAGCTCCTTGAAGACGGGGACCAACCACATGTCCCTCACTGCTATATTCCCAGGACTGATCATGGCCGATGGTCATTTCTGAATGGACAAAAGAAAACCTTCTCTGAAACAGGTGTTTGCTCTGGAATTTGAATGCAGGACATAGAGTAAGCTCTTAAAACATTATTTACTAAATGAATAAAGAACTTATGTGCTTCTGTTACATAAGGTGAGGGTGATGTTAGAGAACTTCGAGCTACTTGACCTTGACAGGGAT